TTTACTATATTTTTATCCAATAAAAATAAAAATAAAAAATAAAAGTTCTATTTTTAGAAATATAATTTTATTATCTTTTTAATGACATAAAAAACATATAAATCTGAATTATTATGAATAAGTTATAAAAGTTTAAAAATAGGAAGTGAATAATTAAAAAGTTAAGTAAAAATATTTCACCTCAAAGATAACTTGTTTGTAGAACAAGTGTTCGAGCCTCACCAAGGCTCACATGTAGTATATATGGGTGTTTAAGAGAGACAATGAGACCTTAGTCTTATCCTCCTAACTACCTTTAAGGTGCTACAACCCATATGGAATTTATACACCTCTTTTTTTACAAGGACTACACTAGCTGCTATTTCTCCTATTTTCTACTAGTAGGACCAACATTTTTGTATTTTTGACTTCACCATGGTGTTTAAAAACACCCAATTAACCTAAGAACTTGGTGTAGCTTTCAATTCTTATTCCCGTTCTTCAAAATGGCTCCCATAGTAGTAAAACTCATTTTTATCAAAGTTTTAAAAATTACTCTCAAAATTCCTAAAAAATTCTAAATAATTTCTAAAAATTCTTATAATATTTTTATATTTATAATATTAATTTAAATTTTATAATAAAAATTTAAATTAATAATATTCTATCTTAATGATTTTTTATTAAGATTAAGATTTAAATATTAAGATTTAAATTAATAAATTTTCTATCTTAATGATTTTTTATAGTAATAAGTTTAATTTAAATCCATAATAAATCCTACTTTCTATTTAAATAACTAAAAAGACATGAAATTCTTTCTCATACTTCTCCTAACTACTAATTAATACTTCTAATTTTTTATAAGTGGTACATATAGGTAAAAGGTCAATATAGATATTAATCTTAATAACTAATCTTTACTACTCAACTATAAATAAAAATACTAAATTAACTAAAATAATTTCCTTCAAGACTTATTAAGACTCTATTTCTTCTCTATTAATATTATTTTCCTTTGTTTAATATCCTCTAAGCACATCTTTACATAAAAATTGCAATTTTGGTACTTACATGCACTCTTTTGTCATAAAACAACTAATGAGTCAATTTGATGAGTCACACATGACTTGATACTTTTAACTTTTCAAATGTTGATAATCTTATAGTGGAAGATTTGGCAAATCATTTGTGAAAGCTACATGTAACAATGAAGGTGCAATTAAAGAGAACTTAAGAATGAGAAAAAATAAATACAAATGCCTATCACAAAGAACAATCATAATTTAATATAAGTAAGAAAGTATGATTACTTTGTCGTAATATCATGACTACTTATCCTTGTGATAAGTTGGACTATCGTAGGCTTGGACCTTTTCCTATTAGTAAACAAGTCAATTCTATTGCTCATGGATTATATCTATCAAAGTCTATAAAAATCTACCCTATATTTCATATATTCCTTCTTTAATTATATAAGATAGTGAATATCTTGGAAAGAAGAAAAATGTTACTTTTCCTTACAGAAGTAGATAATAATTAAGAATTTAATGTAGAAGAAATCTAAGATTTAAGGCGATACCAAAATAGGTTGAAATATCAGAGAAGACATTGTAATTGTCACAACCTTCAAGACAACAAAATTGAGATGAAGATCCTCAAAAATAACATGTCCTTCCTCGAATACATGGCGAGATATAATATGTTTGGTATCATGACCTTGGAAGAGACTTCCAATGTTTGGTGATTTTATTAGAAATAACAACAACTCTTGATAGTGTTCTAAATGTTTTATTTGAAGAAAATTATGAAGACCTCAAAAATAACCAAATAATAGGGTGGTCTTGTTGCCCAAGTCTGAAATACTATTAATAGTTAAGAGGATCTTTCAACCATCTTCAAAGAGAATAAAGATTAGAGTATGTAATAAATATAATTAGTCGCATCTTGGATTTTTTTAACATATGAAGACTCATCTCTAGAAAGAGGGATAATGTACATAGGTACTCTAGTAAATATCTATATTATTAGATAGAAGTAGATAAAAATAGATAAAAATAGGTTAATTTCATAATATCTTTTAGAGTAGCTTCTTAGAAGCTTTATAGATATTGCTTTGACTTTATATGTGTTTGTAGTTGATTGATAGATTAGAAACTTGGTCAATAAGTTAACCACATGTTGGTAGCTTGTAGAACAAGCTAACTACCTGGCACATACATAAAAAACTTGCCTTGCAAGTTAAGATATGTATTTTGTAAAATCAACATATTTTGGAGGTCCTGTAGGACAATGCCTTGTAGCTCATAATTAAGAGTATATATGGAAAGCAAGAATGAAGCCTTCTTCACTCTTGTCAATACCTTTTTAATCCTTAATTTTGTTTCAAGACTTTCTAGTCTTCTTATTTTTAGCAATAGTCATTCTAGTTCAATATTATATCATCTTTGAGTGACTTTTTAGTTTCTTTTAGTAATACAAGAGTGTATTAAAGATTTCTTTTCTTTGAGATTCATGTCCTTGATAAAAATTAACATTAAAATATATACTATTTTACTTTAAAATATTTTTATTTTTATTTTTTTAATACAAATATATTTTTTTTTAGCTTCTATTGAAGCTTTATATTCTATATTATTTTTAATAATTACTATTGTATTTGATTGAATGATATTCTTATTTTAAAAACAACACACATTATAAGATATAAAAGTATTTATTCTTAATCACTACCCTTATTAGCAATATAAAGTATTAAAAAAAAATATGGCATTTTTAATCCTATTATATCAAAGTACATCTCAACATATAAGGGCATACTCTATTATTTGATCTTAAATATTGAGTCTATAATTTATATCAAGTTTGATATAAATTTTTTTTTTCAAGAATATTCTTTATTTGCATCATTGATATAAATAGACACTTATTTGCTATTAGATTTTTTAGATTATAAGCTTGAAAAAAAATTATCTTTTTATCTTCTATCCATTCAAAGATTATTTTTATGTAACTTTATAGTTGTTTTTATTAAATTTTTAAAAAAAAATTAAGATAGTATGATAGGTTTGATGTTTCTTTTGAATTTAAATATATATATATATATATATATATATGTTGCTTATACAATAGAGCTTATTATTTTAAAATTTCTTTATATTTTCTAGAATATGCTAAGATAAATTTGATGTTATTAAGATTATCTAACATATTAATATAATTATTGATTGTTCTTAGATAGGAAAAAAATAAAAAAATAAAAAAAACAAAAAAAACAAAATCCTCTTTTGATCTAGAATTAGGGCAATCATAGCTTGCATTAACATGAACTTTGATATCTTATCCATCATCCTTAGAATATATGACTTTTACAAAAAGACTTATATCCTACATGTCTTTTAAAAAATCATTGTTATTACTATTATTGACCAGATCAAAAGCCTTACTACAAAAAAAAAATTCTCAATTAAAAATAAAGTCTACTATATTTGAAGAAATTTTTATTATATATTAATAGATTAGCTTTAATACCAACACATATTCAGTCTTTATATTATTCATAAATTCTTCTTTTTGGATATAAGGAATTGTGAAACAATAGATGTATTGCTAAAATTGCTAATCTTATAAACAAAATAATTTTTAAAATCTATATTTTTTAAATTAAAATTTAATATAAGTCAACAACTTTGATAATATAAGTCCTTAAAATTCCATAATTGTTCTTTCCTACCATCCATTTCAAGTTACAAAGTCTTGAAAGAAATTTTGCCATTGTAATATGAGACCATCTTCTATAATATCCATTCCAAATTATTGATGCTTATTTATCAATTTATAGAATAATAAAGTTGAGATTTTTATTATTAAATAATTGATATTTATTATTTGATAATCTAAGTATCTTAGAACTATTTCTTAGAGTTTTTTATTTTTTTCAAACTGATTTTATAGAATATTTTAATTAAAGTTCTTTATTGATTAAAAAAATAGTATTTAATTTAATAATAATATAAAGTATGGTAATCATCATGTCTTCTTTCAACCATTGAATTAAGTTTCTTTCAATCTATATTGAAAGCAATAGTATCTTTTTAGAATGAATGTTAGAAGATTCAATTTTGAATCTTGAACCATCTTTGTTTCTTCTTTATCTTCTTCTCCTTTATTATCTAAAAGCCATATGAAGTTGAAGTCAATCTCATCATTTGAAGAAATATTCTCAAGATTAAGAACCTCAAAGACTTTGTTAATGGTTTCTATTATATACCATCTTTTAACTTTTAAAATGTAATACATACTTCACCTATATAAACTACACATAATAAGGTTACTATTACATAAAGTTGCTACCTTAAACCAATATTTAACTTATTGATAGCAATTTCTACTATTAAATTTTCACATTGGTTATTGCCAACATTTTAAACTGCAATTTGGTGGCGATAGGATCTACTAATAAGTTGCTTTAACAATGACCATTTTCTACTCATTTTCCATCCATTTTTTCCATCCATTTTTTCATAATGGTGAAAAATAGTCACCAACCATGTCTATTTTAAATATTTCTATCTATTTTTTCATCCATTTTTATATCTATTTTTTTGCCACCAATTTATTTTTGATTGTGAAAAATGGTCACCATTTATATCTATCTGTAATTTTTTTCATCTATTTTTTACCACCAATTTTCCTTTGGTGGTGAAAAATTATCAACATCCATGCCAATATTTTATTTTTTCCATATGTTTTTAATTAAAATCATGTCTTGTTGTAAAATTTTCCTTTCTTTTCTCTTTCTTATGATTGCCACCATTGTAAACTACAAAGTCTTCATAGTATTTTTTGTAGGATTTAGCAGGCCCTCTTGCCAAAAGAGAGTATCTCTAGTTGCATGATACAAATTTTTATGTAGAAGACCATCTACTTCAAGGTACCACGATCCCACCATGCAATGTTGTTGGCACAAAAAGAGGATGATTGGGACTCATGGCCCACTGCCATACACTTTAACACTCGTATGATGTCCTATGAGTTTTACTAATATCAAAATTCTTGTGAATATGCTCTGCTACCTCAAGTACAAGACATGTTTCCATAGAGGTATTGGTTGAAGTCTTGTTATTGTGACCATTAAATTAATTCAATCTGAATGATATTTGTTGTGACAACGGCTATCATGTTCTCTGCGGTAGGTCAATTATGATGTAATGAAGGACGTCACACCTATTCAAAACTGGAAAATGACACTGACCCTGCTGAAAATTTGCGCTGAATATGTGTACACCTGACTTTCAGGGTTACGAAATTAACCTCGTAGCATACAGTGTTCATGTATTCTGCCTAAATTGTTCATGTCATCTTGTTATCTAGGATCTTTCATGGGGAACGAACTCTTGAAAACATGTGTCTGACAACATCCACTGCCGACAACAAATCTCGGACATATTGCTCAGCCATACATGCCACCCATTCCGCCCAAACCACTTATGCCTCCTCCCGTACTGGGCACTAAGTCCTTTTCTTCCTTGTTGGATTCTGCGACTACAGCTTCAGTCGTCGTCATCAAGGAAGCAACACTACACCCTCAAAATGAAGAGACGTTAGGGATTACCAAATAATGTTAGAGGACGTTTGAAAAATCTCGCTGATTAGGGAGTGTCTGACCAATCTATTGATAGCCCTGAATCAAGGAGACAAGAATTTCCATTACCTTGCTGCATCGACGAATGCGGTTCTGATTACTTTCACAGGGTCAATAATTCCAGCTTTCACCATATCCACGTACTCTCCTGGGGAGACATGATGCATTAAAACATCAACAAGATAACACTCATTTGACAAGTCAGAGATGGTCTGATGGTACGCAAGCATGAAGGTCTGCATGAAATTACGAAATAAATTTCGATGGTTTCATCAACAGACAAACAACTACGCAGTATAAAACAAGCCCCAAACAATTAAATGCAAAAACGTGGAACTCTACATCTAGACCACGACTCTTTGAGTATATAATGACAGTTATGAGGGCGGAGTTCCACAAGAGCATATCATTTTTATGAACAATAATATCAACATGTTTGAAGTGATACGTGTTCTTGCAAAGAGAATATGGGTAACTTTTATAGCACATGTGTAACCGTGAATAGGAAACAAACCCTTGGCAGCATCATAACCGATATTAAGGTTCGATTGGTCCAAAAGTTTGCCAACTACAACGGCTCCCTCCAACCCTGCGTTATGTGCAATAGTGTAGGCTGGCATCTGTACATTAATTCCCAATCAATCATGAAATGTAATGAACAAGGTGGTCAATAGGTTAGTCATCATCTTGTAATCTAAGCATATAGAGTACATGAAATAATAGCCATGCAGAATTTAATAAACCTGGTTATAGAATCAAATCCAATGAGTAACAGCGAAAACATTGAGATTAGTGTCATAGAGTGAAATTGATACCTTCAGTGCATTTTGAATGATCTGCACCCCAATTCTCTGATCGAAGTTATTTGTAGGTATCTTATAGAGCTCTTTTGAAGCATACAAGAGGGCCACACCACCACCTGCATATTCAAGATACAATACAGTAAGCAGTGCAACCGACTACAACCTGCGATCCCAGCAAGCATCTGCGCAACTACAAACCATGAACAAACGTACTAACATGTAGAAGAGAGAAAGTGTTATTCTGAAACATTAAACGTGCCATCAAAGCAGCTAACTTCATCAATTACCTCACCGAAACCAGAAGTGAACGTGGAAGAGACAATCAACTGTGTTTGTTACAGAGAAAATGATCCTGGAACCTTACCGGGTACAATGCCCTCTTCCACAGCTGCTTTAGTGGCATTCAAGGCATCCGTTACACGATCTTTTTTCTCATTGACTTCCACTTCACTAGTTCCTCCGATCTACAATCGCATTGTAGGATTAGCCTCACTTCACTCTATTTGTACATTTTTTCAGAACTACACGATTGAAGATGAAGGACAATATCCAAAAATAATGTAATTCTTTATTTAAAAGAAGGGGCCGTATGATATTATGCAGACCTTGAGGACAGCTACACCTCCTGAAAGTTTAGCTAGTCGCTCTTCCAACTTTTCTTTATCATATTCTGATGTAGTTTGACCCAATGAGTCTCGAATCTGCAAGTTTATTGAACAAATTAATACAGATGATTTTAAAAAAAATTGACCTTACATACAATGCTTAGAGTTACATTCAAACCACATATCCTTAACAAGGCTACAGAAGTTGTTGATGAACTCCAATAAGATAGAAATTGTTCATAGAATACACTACAGGTTTTATGGAAATCACTAAATGATTAGGGAGATAATTATGAAGGGAATGCTGTAATAATAAACATATATCAATATCAAACAATGTTGCAGATTACAATGTTTTAACAATATGTAAGTAAAACATATAATTATGAAGTAAAACAATATCAAACATATTGAGCAACGGCATAGAGATGTTAAGTCTTTTCATAACATTATATTTCTCTAGCATTGCTCACATCACATCATTTACAAAAGTGGAACACAAACCCAGTTTTGAACCTTGGCATTCAGAATCTAGCTTTCTATGTCATTTTGTTTATTGAAGCTCATATAGGAGGAAATGGCTCTTTACCTGTTCAAGACGTTCCTCTATGATAGCCTTATCACCAGCACCATCCAAGATGATTGTGTCATCTTTTGATACTGTAACCTACAAGATAATGGCGCGGAACAGATGTGAGACCTCTCCTCTTCAGTGGGTCAGTCACAACAACCAGTGGGTCCAAAGAGAACATTGACGAAGGGTTTGTCACCAGACAATTTAAGAGAAGTAGATCACTTGGATCTTGAATTCGTCGGCAAGATTGTGAATGTCATATTGAGACGGCTGGAAGATGCGGAAAATTCCTGTTGTTTCAATAGTGAATCATTAATTAATTTGACAAACTGGAGGTACACACAGTGCTATCACTGATAAAGGTCATCAAGGCTGCTTCATACCTTCTTAGCTGCTCCAAGCATGTCTAGTTCTATTTTCTCTAGTTTCAACCCAAGGTCTTCACTAATCAACTGCATCCAAGATTGAAATAGGCAACACTGAGAAAATTTTGATACTAATATCAAACATACATATACTTGTACTTCTAAAGCTCAGAAAACACAAGCAGTTGTATACTATCCAGAGAATTATTGCATTACACAAAATAAAAACTTCAGTCATGCATCAAATAGACCGACGACGGCTGTATTTGTCTCTATCGTCGATAATAAGACACCCCGTGGTCGGGATCCTCCACTCTCGCACTACTTATCTCCCTTCGATGAAATTACTCCTGACAGAGTTAGAAGCGAAAATGATAATATACTGTAATCAGGGAAGAGAGAAAGAAGTAATGTACCTGACCACCAGTCAAAACAGCAAGGTCCTGCAATATGGACTTCCTGCTGTCACCAAATCCGGGTGCCTTGATAGCACAAACCTGTTTTACCACCACATTCCCAACCCCTGTAACCAGATAATCACCAACAACACAAAATCACTCTGGAGGCGCTCGTCTCTTTTTCTAGAAGGAAAGTCACAATCGATGAAGGATGTTGAGAATACATTTTTTAACCAGTGTGCCTGGCTTAATCAGTGTGTGTAGACATGGTGATATTCATAGTCGTCCTTGTAACACAGAGGACTGACAAACAGTGCTCAAAAGATACCAATCTCAATATACCTTCACTCCACCACGAATTTTATTAACGATAAGGGTAGCAAGAGCTTCACTTTCAACATCCTCTGCAACTATGAGCAATGGCCTTTGCTCCTGAGTAATCAATTTCAGGATGTTAAAAATAGTCGAAAGTACTGGCTCAATCCTTGTACAACTGTATTTTTGGTGCACAGAATAAATGTAGTGTTATCATTCAATTAAAACCTGAATCACTGATCATAAAATTTCCAATCAACCCAAATGCATTCCAAACAAACTATGTTAAAAATAATGATAATAATAATAATAATATTTCTTCATTCTTTATTTATTTTTAGTTTGTAAAATCAAATCGTAATACCCTGACCACCAGCTCAAGAACTGGAAGAATTGATTGTAGGCCTGTAATCTTCTTTTCATGAATCAGTATGACTGGATTCTCGAGTTCCTGACAAAAGAGGGCGACAATCAGTTGACTTCCAAGATTTGCATGCCTATACTCTAAGGGCTTGATCACGTAAGCCTCCCATAAACAAGGTAATGAAGACTACTCAAGTAATTCTAGCATGAATTTTAGAATAGCACCCACTTCGGTTCAGAATTTTCTTCCCGACGATTACAAAACATTCAAAGATTTTGGTAGTATTTGAGTGACCTCAATTTGGCACACGGAGTGCTCACCACTTTCTGAGTTTTGTTGTTGGTGATGAAATAAGGTGAGATATAACCCCTGTCAAGCTTCATGCCTTCCACAACTTCTAATTCATTGAAAAGTGTTTTACCATCCTAAAAACAATTTCATGGTTTAATGAGTTCTCATCTCATGCTGACTTAAAGAAATTTATGGGTGAAAGGTCAAACATAAGGGAGGAAACATGTGCAGATTAACTCCAATTTTTGATACCAGGCCCATTTAATGACAATGAACCACAATGACATCGCAGACCAACATGTTCAAATGTATTTCCCACTTACAGAGACAGTGATGACACCCTCTTTGCCGACTTTTTCCATGGCACGAGCCAGCAAGTCACCGATTTCACGATCTCCGTTGGCAGAAATGGTCCCTACCTGTCGAATCACAAATATGTCAGTAAAGATCTACAAATGAAGCTTGCTCTTACTCAATGAGCTTAGTTCCACCGTTCCAAATTACTAACTTGTGCAATTTCTTCAGATGTGCTGATCATCTTTGCCTGACTCTTCAAGTGAGCAACAACTGCATCCACAGCAAGTGTAATGCCACGGCGCAAGTCCATGGCATTCATGCCAGCTGCAACGGACTTGCAACCTTCAGTAAAAATGGCTCGAGCAAGCACTGTTGCGGCAGTTGTACCTGCAAAAAAGTTCGTTACTGTCAGTTTAACGTTCATTTGCGGTTCGCCTCTAAATTGAAACCCTGATACTTCTTCCAACTGTTGGCTCATGTCACCCAGATATTGTAACACTGTTGTGATATTTTAAGTAAGGACTTCGACATTATCGTGTGAAATCAATTATACAGGTCACAGATATTCGTGTGGTTGCAGTACAGAATGTCTCCAATGCATTAGATTCGTACAAGACCATCTAAAAAATAAAGAAAAAAAAATCTAAGTTGATCGATTCCACATCTTAAATCGAATTGAGCAAATTCACTCCACAACAAAGAAACTCCTACAAATCACATACCGTCTCCTGCAACATCATTTGTCGCGTTTGCCACAGACTTCACTAATGAGGCTCCAACATTCTTCAGCTTGTCCTTAAACTCAATACTCTTGGCAACTGTAACTCCATCTTTAGTAATTTTTGGAGAGCCATACGACTGCTCTAAGACGACAGTACGGCCCTGTAATTGCATGGCGCTTACAAGCAGTTATTAGATAGTTCAACAGCATAAGTTTCTCTAATAAGACCTTAACGACAGCGTCAGTAAAAGCATTCATAGCAATAGAAACCAATGTCAAGATGTATGAACGAGCCAGACCGGAGCAACTACAAAACCACAAGCCTCCGTCGGAACATCAGAGGGCGTGATGCACATTAATGAAGCCGTTACCAACTTGATGGCAATAAAACTACAGAAGAGAGAATCAGACACCATCTTTTCTTAGCGCGAAGTTAGATGCAATGGAATGGTACCTTGGGACCCATCGTTACTTGCACAGCATCTGCAAGTTGCTCCACACCTTGAAGCATGAGAGCACGAGCTTCCACACCAAACCTGATGTCTTTTGCTGAAAACCATCGGACCAACTGGAAATGATCGAAGTTCTGCGAGACAAATGGTATCGTTTAAATTCCTTTTTCACTCTCGGTCCACTCTGGCTATATGTGAATATTCTCTTGAGAAGCTTTTGTACACCAGCAACTATCACGTGAGTGGTGTGCCGTATTTCGTCACGCGTGGAAATAGCATGTAAAATGTTTTGTGCTTCACAAAGTTAATATAGATTTGCATCTGGATTTGCAGTCCGAATCTGTTTGTTTTAGTTTTCTGCCAAAAAAAACAATCCAAGGATTGCATGCGAATACGATGCGTAAGAAGCGAACTTTAGGACTAAGACTGTCTGCTGCTAATTGTTGCTCCCTAATGGTGAAAGCAGCTTACTCGCACAAGTGGTCGAAACCTGCACGTCCAAAGATAAAACAACAGACAAAATTTCTTTTAACGAAGATATCCCTAAAGAACTAAATTTTTTTTTAGATATGATAAATCTTGTGCAAGAAGATTCTAAAGAAAGAAAGAAAGAAAGAAAGATAACAATATGAGTTGCAAAATAGCTGAGAGAGCAGCTTTTGCGAACTGATCCACAGAAAGCGAGAATCATTACAGGAAATATTATTAATGTTTAAAATTACCGCGAAAAAATGAAAGACCCTAGAAACAGATGAAGAAAGTGTGACAAAAAATGGCAACAATACGAAGAACCCTTCAAGCGTTGTAACAAAAAGCTGCTCAGAAATTTCAACACACCGCACAAATAGCTACTAAGAATCACATCACAGCATTTTATTTATGTCGATACTGGTTTCAATGAAGAAAAGCTGTGTTCAGAATGTGCAACAGCACTTGACTTTTACAGCTGCAGCATGATATATCATCGAACTGTGCAAGTAATAATTCACAACGACGGAAGTCAAGTGAGCACCTACTCCAAAACGTACACGAGGAAAAGAAAATAAATCAGCAAAATATTCAGAAACATGTTAAGCTCTCCTCAACTGTAAACACACACGAACCACGAACATGTTCCCCGATGCACGCGCTCAAGACTCTACAATCACACCAAAGGGAGCAAAGAGAAGTGAAAAAGCACCTTACATGAGCCGCCAATGCTGCCGCAGCACGAAACATGTTAAACGCTGGACAATCTTATTTCTGCTTGCGAAAATTCGACCTCACTTTCTCCTCCGCCGATCGATCGCATCAATCTTCCTCTCACATGAAAAATACGATGAAATGGCCGCGAGAACTCTTCAAGTGGAAAAAAGACGCCTGTCGTGATGGTCGCAATCCAGAATGCCGCAAGAAAACAACTAAAAAACTAAAAAAACGCTGAAAAAGAGAAGCGAGGAGATCGGTGAAAGCACAGAGCTGCGTAGATCCCTACGGCATCGAATCCCGGTACAAGTTGGCAACAACAATTGGATCTCGAGGTCCTGCAATCGCTATGAGCAGGGACCTCGGTTCCGTAGACAAGGAATCGGCTGGTTAGTTATTCGCAAGAAAAGCCTTCTGCGTCAGTGTGAACAAGTAGTTGCCGAAGCCCTAATTTTATCCCTGATCAGAATTCTGCCTGGATGTTTGTTCGAAATACTTCAATGTGTTTTGGAAATGTGGGGATGTAAAACCTGCGATAGAATTTTTGCTACAGAAAAATTAGTTACTCCTTATTAAAAAATTGTTTTGTTTGATGAAAAGGAAATCTCAGATTATGAATGCAAGCTGAATAGAAAAGTGAAATCTGGTTCTTATCATATGTACATATTTTGCAATAAAACATGACTTTTAGATATTTGCTTATTTAAAATCTATCTTCTATCCACATTTTATATATATATATATATATATATAAGTATGTATATAAATACTAATAAATTACATAAATTTTATACAAATAATTTCAATTGCTTCTACTTTCAATTATAGTGGATGCATCTATTTTCATCACTTTAATTTTGTTCATATATGGAGACAATTAATGGCATGTAATGGTGTTCTCAAATGTAAGCTTTTATATTCACTTGCACATTAAGGGCATCATCAATAAACTTGTGAATCATCAATAAACTTGTGAAATGTTCCAAGTAAACTTCTCCTTCTTTGGTTTAAAAACATATCCACAAAACAAAAACAAAAAACAAAAACAAAAACAAAAAAACAAAAAAAACTTTCTATGCAAACTCCACATAAGATACATCAAGAGTCAAATTCAACTTCATGAGAACTTCAGTTGAAGTCATGTAGCTCCTTAGCATGTAAAGAATATTGATTATCCTTGCACATGTCTATTTCTATCTCTATCTATTAAATGAATATATATATATAGCTAATTATTATTTGATATGTTAATTTTTTCATGTATTAGCTATCAATATTTATTTCAAAATTAAATTTATATCTTATCATTCATAAAATTAATTATTGATTAATAGTTTGAAATTTTAGTTTAATATTTTTATTATTAATATTATAATTTAATATTTTAATTTTAATTAAATATTTTTAAAATTTATTAAAAATATTTATGTAAATATATATATATTATATTATATTAAACATACAAGTATAAATCCCTGCTTTTGAGCTCAAAAATAAAATAATAAAAAAAATTAATAGTGAGATCTAATACTCTAATCAAAGCTTTATTAGTGGATATCAAAAAATGAAATATATATATATATATATATATATATATATAAAGATGATGTATATTGGAAGAGTGCTACATAAAGTTGATATAGCTAAAGACTTATTGATGGTCATTATAAAAGCTGACTGTAGTAGAAATGGTTCTCTTGAAAATTAAAAAAGAAGTTCAATATTGAATAGAATTAACATTATTTGGAGAATACATACCAATTTTTTTGCAAATTCACTGCAAAGAATCCTTGCTTTAATTACACAATCTAAAAATCTTATAATTATCAATCAAGCATCATCATACAATCTTTTTTTAGATTAAGATTTTTCAACAACATGCTTAGAACTTGAATTTTTAGATCTAATTTAAAAGGATAGAAATCTAGAGAATTTTAAAGTATCTAAAATATTGAAGAGTTATTGATTTTCAATTCTATTAGTACCATCCTCCAATATCAACTGATATGCTCTTAAATAGATTTGCAATTCTCTTGATATCTTGAGAAGAGCTACAGTGTTGATATTATACACATCATCACCACGTTTTATATTAATGTTAATATGTTGATAATATTATTTGATCCTTAAATTATTATTCTATCAAAATATTTGTTCTTTAAAGTATAGAAAATGAAGCATCAATCAATCTTAATATTCTATTTGAGATACTTGTACTATAAAGTAGTGTTATGACTAAATTGTCTGCTCCAAGTCCATATCTATCTCCAACCTAAGATAAAGTAATGTCGGTGAAATTTTTTTTAAAAAAATATTTCTTATTTTTATTTTCTTTGTTTATAACTAATGTATGTTTTCATTCAAAAATTTGCAAAGTCTTGATCTTTAAGTGAAGCAATCTTCAACTTCTTGTTTTTTTTCCAAGATAAATACTACAAAATACCTCCACAAAATCAATTTTTGGATACACGCAATCATAATCTAATTTCAAGAACCTTTGATAAGAATTAGAAGAATTTTCCTAAAGTCACCTTCAAGCACTAATATTATTCATTCAAACAATCATTCATCATGTCTAAAATATTTCAACATCCAAATCAAAGCCTCCAAATAAAAGCAATGTTCTAAAGAAATTTCATCCCAAATAATTAGCTTGGCATGCCGAAGCTAATCGACATGGATGTAGCTCTTTGTTATTCTATAACTTGAGGTTTTTGTGATATTCAATAGAATCTTAAAAGTTGAATGTATTGTATGAATACCTTAAAGAAGAAGTCTTGCAATTTTAGAAAAAACTATACAAAGAATAATTTTTCTTTGATTTTTCAACACCATTGTCAATGTATTATATACAAAAAAAATCTAAATTTTTGTTAGATTGTTCAAGAAAAAAAATCCCCTTTTCTTTGCTAAAACCAAGTCTATAATACTAGTAAATACTATATTTTGATCATTTTCTAGCCTTGCCATTCTTTAAACTTTGTCTTGTTCCAATTCCTCAATAGTATCTCTCAAGTACTTTCTAAACAATTGATTTCCAACCTACAATATATTCTTTCAATTCCTCTCATATACTAATATTAGTAAAGAATTTTTGAGATCATACACCTCTTCAAACATTATTTCTATATTATACTCTATTCTTAACTTATGGATCAAATCATGGCAAAGATTTGAACAAAATTCATTCCAAAAGGCTAGTAGATATATTAAGATGTAATGTAATATCTTCAAAAAGAATAATACCTCTGTTATTTTTGGATAACTTGAATTAGTCATTATTATTAAAAATAAATCTAGATGTTGGAAAAATTTGATAATTGCCATCAAATTCTAAAAAATCTTTGTCATGTTTTGTATTCTCACATGAGTTGATGAAAGAATAAGCCACTTTTTAAGATTCTTTAGATTTGAATAATTTCAACTAAGTACATCTATAATATTTGCAAGTCTATAATATTAGTGTATAATTGATCATGATTCAATAATTGATAGTATAGTTTCTTTTGTTCCATTATTATCTATCTATTAATAATAAATTCTTAAAATAACTTTTTAAATTATAAGATTGTTAAATATTAATTTGTCTAAAAAATAATTTGAAGGAATAAAATTCTTTCAAAAAATAAGAGACCATAAGATATCTGCTAAAAGAATATGTAATATAATATTCATCTATTATCAATCACCATATAAAAATAATAATATGTAGCTTAACTAAATATATATTGGATAATGTTAAGGATATGAAATAAAAGATGATGCATAAACCAATGAAATCCGTGTCAAAGAAAGAATAACAAAATAGAAATAAAGAAATATGTATATTAAAAAGAAACTGGAATGGCTTATTGTCAAAAGACAAGGAAACTTGACACTCTTGAAACTAGACTAGAAGTAAGAAAAAAGTTGATAAGAGTAAAGAGGACTTCACTCTTGTCTTTATATAAATTATCTAACTAGGAGCTATATGGCAATGTTTTATAGGACCTTCAATATATGTTGACTTTGTAGGACACATGCCTTGACTTACAAGGTAAGATTTTCTATGTGTGGGCCACATAGTTAGCTTAGTCTTCAAGTTAACAACATGTGTGCCACATTGCACACTTGTTGACCACTTTTCTAACCCAAAAAGTCAATCATAGACACCTATGAAGTCAAAGTAGCATCTATGAAGCTTCTAAAAAGCTTCTATAGAAGATATTATAGAATTAACTTACTTTTACCTACTTATACTTACTTCTACCTATTTATATAGGTAATTATTGGCTTACATGTGTATGTCCATAATATTACCTCTTCTTTTAGAGATGAGTTCCATGAGGAGTGGTCATCGTATGTTGAAGAAATCTATGATGCGACGAATTATATTTGCCACATATTCAGCTCTTTGTTCTCTTCAAAGATGATTGATAGGGCCTTTCAACCATCGATAGTATCCTATATCAGTGTCAAGGACAAGAACTCGATGAAAAAATAATTCAGACAAGTGAGCCTTCATTCAAAGAGAGGTAACAAAATATATATAAACAAGTATGTATATTGAAAGAGAAAGTGGAATGGCTATTGCCAAAAGACAAAAAAACTTGAGACCCTTGAAACTAGAGTAGAAGCAAGAAAGGAGTTGACAAGAGTGAAGAAGCCTTCACTCTTGTCTCTATATATACTATCTAACTAGGGGCTATGTGGCGAAGTTCTATAGGACCTCCAATATATATTGAATTTGTTGGACACATGCCTTGACTTACAAGGCAAGTTTTTCTACGTGTGGACCACATAGTTAGCTTGATCTTCAAGCTCACAACATGTGTGGCACATGGCCGACTTGTTGACCACATTTCTAATCCAAAAAGTCAATTAAAGACACCTATGAAGTCAAAGCAGCATCTATAAAGCTTCTAGGAAGCTTCCATATTAAATACTATAGAATTAACTTACTTTTACTTACTTTTACTTACTTCTATCTATTTGTATATGTAATTATTAGCTTACATGATTATGTCCATGATAATCAGGACAAAAAGACCACCTTGTTATTTGATCGTTGTTGAAGCCTTCATAACTTCTTACAAATAAAATATTTGAAACACTATTAAGAGTTGTTCCTACTTCTAATAAAATTATCAAACATCAGGAGTCTCTTCCAAGGTCATGATACTAAACGTATTACATTTTGCCATTTATTCGAGGAAAAATATGTTGTTCTTAAAGTTCTTCATCTCAATTGCATCATCTTAAAGGTTGTGACAATCAAAATGTCTCGTCTGATAAGTCAGCAAACAAAGGCACTACAGTTGAATCTATTGGTTGTTGGTTCTCCATCTTCTTAGTGTCACAACTGCAAAGAAATAACAAACAAGGATTGAAAGTAGAATGTTATCTTGCTTAGAT